GCAGGAGTACCCGGAAAGAACCCACGCACAGGGAGAACAGTAAATCTCCATGTAGAAAGACCCCAGGCCGGGAATTGAACCCGGAACCTTCTTGCCACTGAGTAGCCTTACATTTATGGAAATAAAAAGATAATTTCTGGAACAAACCCTTACGGTATGACATTAAAAGAGTTAAGTGAATACATTAATGGGAGTTCCTGAAAGCAAAGCTCCTCAGCCAAGTCCAGGGCAGCAGCTTCAGCCTTTGGTGGAAAAACCTTGTGCAATGAAACAACAACCTAATAGATATTCTGGGATCGAGTCGCTAAATGCTGAGGTGTGCAGCATCTCCAAACTTTTTTCTCTATTTTAGCTTAATGCATAATTTAAATGTAATTGTTTAATCTGTTACAAAGTGAATGCAATGAGTGATAACTAAATTACTCATCTGCGCCTTGAGCTTTCCCTCTCATGTTGGATCGTAACACTAAGAGCAAAATGTGATGCCTTATTCAGTTCAATATTCATGCATTAAATGAACTGTGAGGTCTTGTCAGATTACTGTGCTAGGACTCCTTTCATACTTTTCTTAAAACAGAACATGGGGAAAATGTAACGTAACATAATTGCCGTGATTGTTTTTTGTATGTAAAGCCCCTCTCTTCAATCACTAGCAAAGGCAGGTGGGAAAGATGTTTCTTCTGATTTGCCTCCTAATCCCAAGGGATCTCTCAAGCATACACGCGCAGTGTGAAAGGTGTAGGCATTGCAATGAGGTTGTTCATCTGCCTTCGACTTCGCTCTGCACTCTGCAGCGGTGGGAGCGGGCAAAGTCCCAACGGCTTCAGAACATGGATGACTAACAAATGGGTTTGGAAATAAATATGTTATGACCTGAAGAAACTTGACTTGGAGGAAAGCTGACTTGCATCTTCCCTTGCCCTTAATGCAGAGGAGATTTTATACACAGCATGTATATTTAAGCCATTTTATAAACAGAGATGCATGAGTTTTATCATGCTTTTTTACAAAAGAAGTATTTATAATGGGGGCTTTGAAATTTTGAAGTTAATGGCGAACATCTGTGTATGTCTCAAGTCTTGCCTTTTGACTTTTGACTGTTCCATTGTTCTCCTTGCTACGTATTTAGTTTTGTTGTCCTAATGTGAACATTTATGCAGATCTGCATAGCTGCAGCTTTTATTTCACCTTTGGTTATCTTCAAATTTCAAATGTTTCATGCACTGGCGGAAGAGCATCACATCCTTCAAAATAGATAAATTAATTAATTTAAGCTTCTGTGATAATCAGCTTGAAACATGCATCTCGAAATCGACTGCTGACACGTTTCTGTGGCTGTTAGCACACAGGGCAGTTGAGAGACATTAGATCATCTGTGGAGCGGCAAGCTAAGAGCCAGAAGTCAGTGTGGGCTATCCCTCATGGAGAAATCAACTCAACAGCTCCATTCCTCCTGGGAACATATGAGGAATGGGAGCAGGGAGGCGGATGAGATGATTTCTAATGTTGCAGGTAATGAATAATGGACTGCTCCAGAATTATACTACATTATTTGATGTTATTTGTCCAGCTCATTAGAATGGCTGTAAGGCTGAATTGAAATTAGATTAATTTTATTTAAGAATGACTCAGTAATAAAGCATTCCTCTGTTCCTATGTGTGGAGGGGGCACATGCTGTCCCTTTCTGGGTCATCGTCTTGACTGCATTGCTGTCAGCTCCGTCTGACGTTCTTCCAGCTAGGATTATAATGTGGTCCAGTGGGCCATGCTCAAATTACGGGATCTGATGGTGCCAGGCTTTTCTGTTCCTCGTTTATTGTCTGTGGACCTGAAGTCAGCCCACATCATGTCTACTGAGACCCCTACTGAGACCTGATACCTCGACACACTTACCAGGACAGCTCCTTCTATCTGAGGCTTCATACCTCCCCCAGGAGATGCATGGATGAGCAAGCTTATTCTCCTTGTGGGGTGTTCCCCATGCATGACTGATGTTTAGATTAATATCCTCAACTGACTTCTGCTCAGCAGTAAAGAGACCCAGCCGCCCCCGCAGGAGTTGATTGATTTTCACATTGTTCTGACAAAACATAAACCCAAACACTGCAAATAGTTTATTTGCTGCCCAAGTAAATGCTGCAGCCTCAGGCCCAGTTGCCTGCATCCGTGGTTAGAAAGTGGATCTTTTTGTTCTTGGTGTGTGCTTCCTGAATTGAGCATCCTGTATAAGAGGCAAAATTGCTTCTAAAGTTTAATTTTCTTTTAGAACTTAAATAGCAATTCTGGAGGCCATGCATTAACTCCATACAAGCATTAAATCCGAACTACAAAGATTCATTGATAAAATGATATAGTCACATAATAAAATTAACTGATGTCTGATACAAGTAATGATTGAATTGTGAGAACATAAAAAGTGTAAAAGCTTCTTTTTTTGCATTTCAAGATGCTGAGTTTACAATGCAGCTATTTTTGAGCCAAAGAACCCCAAAATACAAATATATCATGGGAAAATGGTAACACCGCCCCCTGGTGGCGGATCAGAATCTAACTGGCTGGTCCATATGAGTTAAAACTCGGATGGACACAAAAACACTTAAAAATAATAACATGGTTTTTCAGTGTTATTTAGGCAAACTTTTGAATTTAAATGACAGCTTGTTGGTAAATGTTAAAAACAGAATTCCTCTAGTGTTTCTTAAAAGGTTTATTTTTTTTTTTTACCTGCTTTCTCTGTTTTCAATAGCGTATGAGAACCTTTGGAAATGAAAACGAAGAGTTCTCCAATCTTTTAAAAGCTATGTGTACCTGGAGCTTTGCTGCTTTGTCTGCTCCCTACTCACCTGTTCTTTGTCACCTCTCAGTGTTTCTAACTAATTGGCCTCTTTCAAGCAGACCAAAAGGGTTCTGATTTCCCTAAGTTGCTCCTGTCGGTTCCTTTCTTGCCAGCTCACGCTTTATCCCTTTAGGATTACATGCAACAAGTCTGAGTTGATCTCCTCGCTTTGTTCGTCTTCAGATCCTGAACTGGGGACTTGGACTTTGGTTCATGTAATGATGTATTATTCCCCATGGGAGGAAATGATACCCTCTGCTCACCACTTTGAAATACATTATTTTGCAAGGGGATCTCCCCTCTTATATTTGTCATTTCATTTTGCCCTTCTTTTCAGCCACAAATTGTAATATTTACTATTGGAATGTGTTCATGTACTTCTATGTGTATACAGTACCAACAAAAAGAAGGGTAACACTGAGAGATGGAAAGAAAATAACAACTGCTTTGCTAAAATTTGTGCAAATATATTTCTTTTAGTAATTGCCCAAAAAGAACTACAATTGTAATTGCATTCCAAAGTCATTTTACAATGTACTGAGTGCATCATTTTAGATTTCTTTTTTTTAAAACTCTGAAGAAATGATTCAATTTCTCAATCAGAATAATACTCTAATACTTGTAGCCTAAAACATAACATCCCGATGACATGTATTAAAGGGTTACGCTTTTTAAAAAAGATAAAGAGACCCTTTATTAATGATTAGCAGATTGTTTATTAATGTTTGATTCACTGATAAACTGCATCTAAACCTTTCTAAAAGGCAAATAGATAATCTATTAAGGTAATCCCACTGATGTTAAGGTAAGGGTAAGTCCAACATGACTGTGCAGGTTAAATAAAAAATAAAAATAAAGGTTAGATTCATGTCTTAAATCCACTGATGTTAGGACTAAACTAACATGGGAGGACAATATGATCTATTTACCTTTTATATTCAGTTTATAAATGATTATTGAGCATTAAAAAACTCGTCGGTCTCTTTACCAATTATAAATGATGGTTATTATAAAATGTTACTCATTAATAATTCTTTTTTTTAAGGTTTTCTTATATAATCAAGTGTTCAAGAGATTTTATTACTGTTGTCAGCAGCTGGGCAGCACTATGAAAAAACATGAGTGATGAGAGTTTATTTCATAAAGTGCCTGTACTTTCTGAGCAAAGGAAGAGCAAACAATAAACAATCCTTCGCTCAAATTGTATTTTGTGTTGTTTCTTGTTTGTTTGGTTCTGTTTTTTTAATTAAAGCTTGCATAGGCTTGCATAGTTTGAATGAGCAAGCTGAAAAATGTATCATTCTATTTGCATTCGAAACTGAAAAGAGACTCTTCTTAAAAAACATTTAATTTTATAAGGCAAGTTGTGGTAAAACACAAAGCTGTTATATTTGTCACAAAACATACCCAACCCTAAGGCTTCCCTATTCTATTGCTGTCCCAGGCTGCGACTGTTGTGCTTAGAATTGAAAAATGTCAATACAGACATTCCCAGCCATGCTCTCACACCCTTGTGCAAAAAATACACGCCCTGCATTAACAAGAACAAGACCTCGGTGTCTGGTTATTCCAAAAAAAAAAAACATCTGCTTCCCTGACCAAAGAGGAAACTTAAGGAGGAATATTATTGTGATGAAAAAAGGGTTTTCCTCACTTCCATTCCACACTCCGCCTGTGTTTGTACCATTGCATGGTATGCTCCTTCTTCCTGTGCATGCTTGAAAATATTCTTCAAGTGCATTCCACACAAATGACTGTTCAGCATTACTCACCAGGAAATAAGCACATTGCCAAGCATGGTTTGAGGGAGACAAGCTAACAGAGCTCTCTCCAGACTTTTATTATGTGTTTTCTACTTTAATCTAATCAGAAATGTTCTACTTTTCCAGAGGAATTAATAAACCAATGGAAGAAATTTCTTATTTTAATCTAAATTAGGTAATATAACTGATTTTTTGGTCTGTTGTCACTCTGCCTTTTTTTGTTTTACCTGAAAGGAATGAGTCATGATAGTAGCCATGGTGATGAAGCCTTCAGCCAGGAACGCTGAGATATCCTACTGTTTTAACATCTTCCTGACATGGAGAGTTCTGCTTTTAGACAGATATCCTGCTGAGAAATATCTGTGTTGTGGATTCTAACACTTTTTGTTTGTTTGTTTAGGGCCAACAAAACCATGGAAGATGGCATCCATTCTAATAACTAAGAGAATGGCTACACAACACAGCAACCTCTCTTCGGCTTTATTTTAATTCATTCTGTATAATTTGGATTCAAGGTTATTATTCTGCAGATACGAATGATCTCTGATAATACAGAAAAGATCAAAGGTAGCATGTTATGAAGGAAACACTAAGGAGACAGCTCATCTGACCCAGGTATCTGAGTTTGGATGAACAGAACATGGTTTCCTTACATACAGGTTGGACGACCAATCAACTAACCAGAAGCACAGCTTTGGGCTAATCCATTGGTTCCCAGCCCTTTCCTGCGGGTTTTAGGTGTTTACTTGTTCCACTACACCAGAAAAGAAAGGACGATTAACAGGCTTCTATAGCCCTTGATTGCAAAGGAGGAGCCCTAATTTGAAGCAGGTGTGGTTCAACAAAGAGATATCTAAAACTTGAAGGGCAGGAGTCCCGGAGGACCTGGGTTGGGAACCACGGAGCTAATCTATATGAAAAAAAACACGCTGCAGCTCTTTTCCCCAAATGTTTGTCCCTTGGATAAAAGGTTTGTTGCTTTGTTTTTACCCTCTTTTATAACAATGCCTGTAAATCCACTGTGATGTGCTAGTGAGCAAGTATCTAGCATCCTTGTGGCTCTGCTGTGCAGCCTATATCATGTTGCTGTGGTGCATATATGAACTAAGAAATCTTTAGAAAAATTTGAAACTATTAGATTATATTCAACTTTATTGTCATTACACAGGTACAGAAATGCAATAGCAACAAGTGCAGGATAAATAATGGTTCCATAAGTACAGGACATGGGTTTCTACTGAATAAATAAAGAGATGAATACCATTATAAACAGAATTTTACTAATAGATTCGTCCTATGAATATAATATATAGATAACTAGTGTTATGAACTAAATTTACAGCTGGATATGTACCGAACATAATATGCAGATAGATATTACTATAAATAGGGTTTTTACAGATATGTACAATGGCATAATATACGGATGATTGTTATTATAACAGAGTTTGCAGGTGAATGTGTACTATGAATATTGTACAGATGGCTATTACTATAGGCAGAATTATGAGCATATTATACAGATGGCTTTTACTATAAAGTGAATAAATAAAGCTTGGATAGAAGCTATCTAAATTAAAGTGCAGTGGAAGGTAATTGCATATTACAGTTAAAGTATGGTATTGCAAATGTATATGTAAACAATTGGTTCTGTGAATAAACAGTCGGCAGTGCAAATCAATATTCAGTCAAGGTGAGTAGTGCAAGATGTATGTGAACAGTTGTTACAATAGTAACAGTCAGGAGTGCAGGTGAACATTACAGTCTTGTAAATAACAGAATTACAAAATGGAGGTAGGTGTGAGGAGGGAGAGGAGAGTCTATCAGTGAGGGTTAGAGTTCAATAAAGAGACAGCTCTGGGGGAAAAGCTGTTCTTTAGTCTGCTGGTTCTGGTCCAGAGGCACCTGAAACACCTGCCAGAGGGCAGGAGAGAAAACAGTCTGTGGGCTGGGTGAGATGAGTCCTTAAGAATGCTGTGGGCTCGATGTAGGCAGCGTTTCTTCTGGATGTGCTCAATGGTGGGTAGTAAAGTTCCAGTGGTGTGCTGGGTGGCTTTCACCACCCGCTGCAGTGCCTTGCGCTCCGCAACAGAACAGCTTCCGTACCACACTGATGCACAGTTGTTCAGGATGCTTTCTATTGCACAGCGATAGAAGTTCACTAGGATAGTTGAGGGGAGCTGATTCTTCCTCAGCGCTAGTGAGCCTTCTTGACCAGGCAGGGGGTGTTGGTTGACCAAGACATGTCCACTGAGATGTGGGTCCCCAGAAACTTGAAACTAAAGACACATTTAACAGCCATTCCATTGATTTGGATGGTGTTGTGGGTGCCTGTTGAATCTTTTCTGAAGTCCATGATGAGCTCCTTTGTTTTGGTGGTGTTGAGGAGCTGGTTATTTTCAGTGCACCATGTGGCAAAGTGCTTGATCTCCTCCCTATAGGCAGTCTCATCGTTGTTGTTGATCAGACAAATCACCGTAGTGTTGTCCGCAAACTTGATGATGGAATTAGACGCATACACAGGCTTGCAGTCGTGGGTGAAGAGGGAGTAGAGAAACGGACTTAGCACACAGCCCTGTGGTACACCAGTGTTGAGTGTGATGGACGTGGAGCAGTTGGAGCCTAATCGGACATTCTGGGGTCTGTTGGTCAGAAAGTCCAGAATCCAGTTGCACATGGAGGTGTTGATGCCCAGGTCTAGAAGTTTGACTAATAACTTCGCCGGAAAGACAGTGTTGAATGCTGAGCTAAAGTCAACAAACAGCATGTGTGCATAAGTGTTCTTATTGTCCAGATGTGTGAGCACAGAGTGCAGTGCCATGGAAACTGTGTCCTCTGTGCTCCTATGCTGCAATATGCAAACTGGTGTGAGTCTAATGTGGATGGTAGCAAGTCTTTTAGGTGTGCCAGGACCAGCCGCTCAAAGCACTTCATTATGATTGGTGTGAGCGCTACAGGGCGGTAGTCTTTAAGGCACTTTGGGCTGGAGTGTTTTGGCACTGGCACAATGGAAGTGCATTTGAAGCATGTTGGTACAGCTACTTGGGCAAGAGACAGGAAAATGTCTGTAAAAACCCCAGCGAGCTGCTCCGCACATGCCCTGAGTACACGTCCAGAGATGTTATCTGGTCCAGCTGCCTTGTGCGTGCTGATCCTGCTCAGTGCATTGCAGGCATCTGTGGAGGAGAGTGTGATTGGCAGGTGGTCGGCTGAGGATTTCAGCTTGGTGGTAGTTTCACAGTTGTCTCTTTCAAAGTGAGCATCCCTCATGTGTTAGTACAAATGTACATCCTAATATAGGTGGAGGCCTCATAGGTTGCCTGAATGAAAGACTACCTGCAAAACAGACTGAAGGCTTGAACAGGGGAAGTGGGCAAAAAGACATTTTAACCTCAATGAGGTTTTTATCTGGTTAAATAAGGGTTAGATAAAGCAGAAAAACAATAATCTACACCAAGTCTGTCCGTTATTGTTTAAAAATATCCGCTTTGACTAAATAAGTTTTGTCTATGAAATTCAAGAGTAACATCATATCAGTGGCTATTGATTGATCATAGTTTAATGTTCTGCGCTTGCCTACAAAACTCCTGCTTTAAACTAACCTCATAAACAAGGCAGTTTGTCTTTCAGTGACAGTTAACTTCATTATACTCCAATTGAATGTTTAGGAATTGGATAAGATTCTATCAAAACTATGTTCACACATATATGTATATATATATATATATATATATATATATATATATATATATATATATATATATATATATATATATATATATATATATATATATATATATATATATATATATATAACACAATTATGAATATATACTTACTGTTACCTTATTAGATATTGAATGAATAGACACCTTATCAAACTTTTAATAACATTTCTAATGGGATTTATTAATATCATCATCATAATAATACTCTGTTAATTTAAGAGATGTTAGCTGGTAAGGTAGCGGAGGTTCCACAGTGTCAGCCCAAGGTGGTTAGCAAACTAATCAACTGCCTAGAGCAGAGTTTCCTAAACGATTCAACTTTTGACCCACAAATTGGTACCACAGCTGACTAACGACCCAAACTATAGGTTTAGTTTTTAAATATTTCCACAAAATCAATAAAATAAAGGTGTAATAATATAACAAACAGTATTATCAACCAAAGTATTTGATTTAATCAAATTGTGCGTGATGCTTTTATATATTAACAAAAAAAAGTTTGTTGCTTAGCATAATTTCTGCAGCGGATATCAAGACTCCATTCTGGTTGATCAAGGACCCCAAGTTGGGTCACAACCCTAACTTTTGGAATACTGTAAATGGCCTAGGGCCCCAAAAGCAACTAAACCTGTAAAGCACTCGAATCCAGTGTCGGTACATTAACCATAAGCGCTGACATTTGGATAAACACCCCATACTTGCCCCTTTACAAATAAATTCTGCTTATCGCTTTATGCAACAGTTCATCACCTTACTTTCAACAGCTTAGATTTAATAAAAATGAGGCTATAAGAATCAGAGATTTCTAAGGAAAATCCATAAATCTAAAAGGAAGCAAACCACATCTCTCTCAATATTGTCAAAAATAACCAAGCCTTTAGTGAAAATATTCTATAGAGTGGCGAGTAATGTGAATAATGGGTCATGTTAGCTTACATCTGGTTTACATTCCACATTATTTCCCTAAAAGCGCATCATATCAAAAGTCAAACATGGTGGAGATAGTGTAATGGTCTGGTTCTGTTCTTTTAAGGGCCATTGTAGAACCAATGGACACTTGAATTCTGTAGAGAGAATCAAAACAATCAACAAAGAAAATGTGTAGCCCAAAATTCTCCTACAAAAATGTAAAAGACTCATTGCCACATCACATTCATAACAAATGCTAGATTTTACCATTGAAACAATCAATTCAAAACTACATTTTGGATTTACTGAAGCTATCTTGTCTGATATAAGCTTATGTTTGATGATCAAAATAATTAGAAGAGGTAGGATAAGATAAGATGAGGGATAGAAACTGGCAGAAGGCAAATTATGTTTGAGAACACAAATTAGTGTTAGGAAAATAACTTACTTCCCCTTTTTAAAAGACATAAAAAATAACTCTGCTTAGAATGTGTATTTAGTGAATTACATGACGTTTTAGTTGCATGTAATGTATTTTTGTTTGACAAATAATACATTTGTAAAAAAAAAAAAAAAAAAAAAAAAAAAAAAAAAAAAAAAAATACGTTATATGGCCCTTATAAAACGGGCATAGCATAAAGAAAATATTGATTGTTTTTAAATATCTGAAATGCTCCGATGTAAAATTCTAGTTAGAAACCAACGCTACATTTGGTACTTCTCTGATATTCAGACGGGCTCAGAAACAATTCGTCCTAATTGACACAAGAAAAGGAAAATTTCCTAATTTTCATTGAACGCACCAATTTAGACATCATGTAGGGTGGTGTTGGATGTGTGCTGTATCCTCAGTATTGACTTGCAGGCATTTTTGAACGCAATGACCTTGGTTTAACTTGACAAGTATAAACAATGAAGGGATCCACAACAATCAATAACAATTTAGAAAATACGTACACACATTTTGTCAATATAAGCTACAGAGTGATGTTTTTTTTTTTTATTGAATTGTGATGCAGCCTGCGAGACTTCCATCAGGGTGAATAGATAGCAAGCAGCACCTCATCGACTGGGGGCTTTGAAGCTAAGCTAACTACCTGTGTGCTGTTGGTGAGAACACATGCTAGCTCAGCCGCCGGTAAACTGTTTCAAACATGATTCATATATTAGCAGGTGTCAGAAGGTCGTTGCGCTGGTTTGAAACGAGTCCAATAAATTAGCCTTTCCGGAGCAAAACGAGATACAAGAGAGAGGCGTTGCTCCTCAGTGAAACCAGCTACGGGTAGTCTTGACAACAGCTTCCTCCCGTCGCGAACCAAGTTCCTCCTCCGCTTGCGGATGAGGTAGTTGAGCGGCTCTGAAAACCACCCAGGCGGTGGGTACATGTCTACCACCCATTGAACCACCAGGAAATCCCGCTGTACATGTTTCGCCAAGAAGTCAGTGTGACGTCTTTTATTCCGTCTTGTTCGTATCTTTTCCAACCCGAGAAGAGGAATATGTCCCGGTATAACATTTACAGCCTGTTGGACTGGATCTACGGCGGGGTGGACCCGAAGTTTGAGGGTAACGGGGGGCCCGAGTGTGCGGCTTTCATCGGCCCCCAGCAGCGCGTGGCGGAGAGCTTTGTCATCATCCTTATCTCTCTGTTGGAGATCGGCGCGGCGCTGAAGAAAATCAACTTGTCCAAAGAGTTCAGACTTGTCGGCGGAGACTGCGTGAGGACGAAGGAGGACAGTCTGGGCAAGAACCTGTTGCTGGTGGCTCTTTGCATGACGTTTGGTGTAGAAGTTGGCTTCAAGTTTGCCACTAAGACTGTGATCTATCTTCTGAACCCCTGCCATGTGGTCACCATGATTCAGGTAATGGTGTTTTACGAACACAATAAACTGCTTCCTGCAAACATGCAACCCCTTATGGAATACATTTTTACAGTAATGGCTATTTGAAAATAGAGATCAGAGATGTGCAAAATAACAGCAGCATGTTATTTAACTGATTAAGGTAGAAACTGTGCAAAATCTGCATGAATCTAGCAACTTATTGAGGTTGTTGGAAACAGTGATGGTTATAGTCTTACTGCTGCTGGGAGGAAGGATCTGTGAAAACGCATCCTGGTGCATTTGGGGTGAAAATAGCCACCATTGAGGGATGGAGGAGGTTAGGATAGCAGACAGTAGGGTTGTTGTTCTGAGCAGGAAACTGCACTAGATAGTTTAACAGAAATGCAAGTTGTGTTTCACGTTTGAAAGAAGGTAACAGGGAGCTGCTGTTTTAGCTCCAGATTGGATCTTGTCTGTATGTTATCTGTGAAATCCTTTTTTATTCTTCGATTCATTTATATATATATATATATATATATATATATATATATATATATATATATATATAGTTTCTCTTGGTTTGCTGTACGACTTCATACTATGATGTGCAGCTCCTAATGGGTGTGGCTGTTCCATTTAATTCCCTTTCTGATCTTCTTCCATCACAATTGAAAACATCTCCTTAGAAACAGATGTTGCAGTCTCTGCACTAAGGGTGTTGGTGTCCTACATAGAGTGTTAATGCAGCTTTCTGGACAGATGCTTCAGGGAGACTCATGCTTATCCGAACTCTGGGAACTTCCTGCAGTCCTTACAGAATAAATGAAAGACACAAATGGCGGATGTTGTCTGACTGAGCCTCAAATAGGTATTCAAACACTTGCACTTTTTAGACCTTTTAACATGTTACAAGCACAAATCTTGTGTTTTTTTTTTCAATAAAGAGGGGTGTACAGCTCCAGCTTCAAGTTGTGGATCAGGTTTTAATGTCTATGTTTTTATTTAACTGAAGGTTGGACCTCTCCCCCTCCAAGACTTCTAAAGCTATATCCAGCTGTCCGTCCATTATCCCATCAACTTTAACCTAGTTTCATGTCTCTGGTGAAGAAATGCATCCCTGCAGCATTATGCTGTCGCTACCATGCTTCACAGTGGGGGATAAGCTTTCTGCTACATGTACATTTTTGCATAAACAGCCAAAGTAAAGCTTTGATCTCTACTGACCACAGAATCATCTCCACCGTGCTGCCTGTACTCCGCTGCATGGCTTATGGCAAACTGTAAACAGGGCCTCCTACGATTTTCTTTTACTGATTATTTAGCCACTCTCCCTAAAAAGGTCAGATTTGTTTACAACGAATAGCAGTCTTGTGAATAAAAAAAACAAAAAAACAAAAAACAAAAAGAGCTTCTGACCCCATTCAACTCTAGAGGGTAAGAATAGATTGAAGTGTGTGGTAGTAGAGTGACTAAACATGGAAAAAGTGAAGAAGGGATTCATACTTTTGGAGGACACCGTAATTCAGATGTTTGGCCTAATAGAGGTTTGTAGTTTTGGCATGCACTCAGGCCCCGTCCACACGAAGACGAACCCTGGCCTAAACGCACAAATTTTTCACCAAACCAGCCTCTCATCCACACGAAGCCGGCGTTTCGGGGGTCTGCAAACGATCTTTTTTTTATTCAGCCTTCAGAGTGGGAAGATTTCGAAACGCCGTTTTCGCGTTTCCATCTTTACGCTCTAACCGCATATTTTTTTTTACATGCATGCATCATAGCGTCGCCTCTAAACACGCATGCGTGAGACAGTATCACAACAACAATGGCGCCGTTGCTGCTAATGCTACTCACCCTGCTGTCGGGCTTACAACAGAATCTTCTTCTTCTGGAATATCTCCAGGAAGAACAGAGCAATATCGACGACATAGTTCAGCACCTGAATTTGACTTAACCACGAAAATGGACCCGCAGGGCAACCATGTATAAATATTAGTGCGCATGCCCAGCATTTCGTCGCTTATTTTTGCTTTGGCACCACAGCGCCACTTACAGGCCTGGCATATATTTTGCAGCGTTTTCATGCATTCGTGTGGACGATCACATTTATTTTACGTCTCCGTCTTTACGGCAAACGTTTTGGAAAATATCAGCGTTTCGTGTTCGTTTTGACTTCGTGTGGACGGGGCCTCAGTGCCTGGATCGTCTGTAGTTGGAGAGTGAGCCTCACTGCCTGAAAAACCACATGCTGATCCTGCAAACTCAGCCTGGATGTCTGGTCTGTGCCCCATCAGATGGCACATTAGCAGTCCCACTGAGCGATCCCAGCTTATCAGTTAACCATCACACATTTCCACTGAAGCTTATTCAGTGTGGGCGGGGCTCCTTCAAACAAAGGAGCTACACCGTCAGCAGCAATATGAGGCGTTTAGCTTTCAAACTCAAAAAGTCTCTTAACACATTTGTACCTTTGTAAAAACGTGGCTTAATTGAATGAAATGAGGGCTCAGTTCACAATTTTGCAGTAAAATAGGAAAGTCGGCCCCTTTCGCTGGCTGATCGTCCCTGTGGAAGTGCTGACAGTTAGCGCTGCTGTTCAGGTGTAAAGGTTAAAGACCATGAGGTGTTAACATGTTGTGTGTGTAACTTAAATGACTGTGGCATGGGTTGCATCCCTGTGCAGTAAACCTTTGTTCCATGTAGATCTCATCAGAGTTTCCTGCATGAGACAGAGAAGAAAGCAGATCAGCTGCTGGGTGATATTTTCATGCGCTGCAGGGAAAAGATCCATCCTGCTGATCTGGCCTCTGGAAGGCCTGTTAATATAACACAGCAAAGGCTTCAGCAAGGTGCGGACGGAAATGCAGATTATACAGTGTTCAACGAATTCACGTAGAGGCACCAGTAAATCAGACAACTTTTCCCGGATGGGACCTGATCGCCGATCTGGAGGTCAAGTCCTGGAAAAGAGATTCAGATATTGTTTTATGTGTATAGAATGATTGAAAACTGAAAAATCTCACAACAGCAAGCTGAAACAATCAATCGGATTAATTGTGATTAATCGATTATTGAAATAATCGTCAACTAATTTAGTAATCCATTAATCTTTAACTGTAGTATAGAGAATCTAAAACGTGTCTTTAACTGATAGAGTGACCCACTTAGAGCAGTAATTAAATCAAAATTGTAAAGAAATATACAAATATTTTCCATTTAAGAGAGGAAAAAAAAATGGTGTCTGTCAATATGCTCAAAATAAGAAAACGTTTCAATTTCTTACAAAGTTTTCTTTAAGGAACATTTGGCATCCAATTAATCAAAGAAATAATCAACAGAATCAATTTGCAAAATAATCGTTAGTTGCACCCCTAATAAACATATCAACCAACTGTATATATTGAAGTGGAATACTATTGCAATTTCTTTCATTTTCTGTTGAATTCAAAGCTACTAGCCTTAGCAAATAGCTGAAAGTTTCCCGTTTTCATGTGTGACAAGCCTTAAAGATTCTGCAGAAACTTTAAATAAATAAAATTTGATTAGTGTCAGCTGGTGAAATGGTGATTGCTGCTAATCTTTGTTAAAAATGCTTAAAAAGATGCTACTATATTTAAAATAAAAGTTTGCAATTGAATCCAAGTAAAGCAGTTGTGTGTAGTAGATGTTCCCTATCAGCCTAGCTTGTTTATGGTATCAGCTGTAGCATTAACAGCTTGCTGAATGGATTGTTGACCCAGTTGTTGAGATAACAATGCATTTATCTTCTGAAAAGGAGGAGAAAAAAAAACACCACCTTATCAGCATTTAGATATACTAATCTATAAAGCTGATAGTAAACAAGTCCACTACCTAGAGGCTCTGGGAAAATGAAAATTTTCTTCCATTAAATAGATTTTGGGTTGCTGCTGTAGAGGTTAGCATAAATATCTCAACAAAAAGCCAACAACGCTAACAAGTACTGCAGCTCTGGTCCCCTTTGAGTTCTTTAATGCAGCAAATGATTAGGCTTTTAAGAAGAACTGATCATTGAGGCTCGTTCTTACCTGTAGCTTCTACCCAATTGTTTTTTCAGTTTAATTCGGATCACGGCTCAGACGGAGAGCAAAAAAAAGGGAGGGTGGTGTTATGTTTCAGTCTGCTGCACCTTGGAATGAGATTGCATTTCAGTTTCAGAGGGAGGGAAAAAAAATAAAAACCATTAGACTTATTAGTTTGTTTTGCTTGTTTAAATCGTACAGCTGCCGCATACAGCTTGATTTGACTGTCATAAATGCGTTCATGCAACTTAATGTCTTCTCGGAGCCTTATTGTGTATTATTGCCGCAGGAGACGAGAAAGCCGGTTGAGATGGTGATGAGAGCCCTTGAATCTTATGCTCATTTCCTCTCACTCGCAAACTTTTTTCAATCACTGTTAAAAGCTAAACCACGCAGCCTCAGTTCATGTTTTTTCAGAGATGTGATCAGATGTGTATTATTTCTTTGCAAAACACTTGTTTGCTCAAAAATATCATTAGATGTGAAATGACAGTTTTATTGTGTTTTGCTGGGATTGAAATAATCATCGGTTTTGAGCTGAGCGCTGTCCTATAAAACCACATGTGATACAGTCCTGCTGTAATCACTGTCAGTATAATAAACAAACTGATTCCTATAAAAGAAGCTTTCTTTTTTGACTATGTGACCAGTGCTGTGAAAGGACAACCTATAAAAACATTTCTGCCATGGCAGTAACCTTTTATTACTTGTATAAAATAATTTGAAGACATTGCAGCGACTTAGAAAAACGCTTCTCTGCTTTGTAGAAGAGGAGGAGATACCTCACTTTGGGATTATGACGCCATTTCTGATAGAAAAGATCCTCAAAGGTCTGCAGATTTTCAATAGAAGTTTGTTTGGTGCAGCACAAATCTTTCTGTTTTCTTTTCTCCTTTTATTGCCTTGTTTTTATGCAGCAGTTTTATATGCACTGCAGAGGTTTGGGTGAAACAGCAGTTTTTATACCCACTCACAGTAAAAAAAAAAAAAAAAAAACTACTT